GGCCGTGTGAGGAGAAAGAGGGGAGCGGCCGGTGTGGTAAAACAGGCCGTGGCTGAAGGCCCGAGCGGAACAGAAAGTCTGTAGGACAGATGGGTTCCCGGGCAGTGATTCAGTAAGGATGGGGCAGCCCGGTCTCTCGTTCCTCTTTCTCCCTCTTGTCGTCGCTGCCCTCGCTCCCCCCTGTGTGATGGATCAGGGGACGGCAGGGCTACCAGGCCTTAGCCGAGGCAGCGTTCTTACATCTGTGCCACCCCAGCGTGGTTCACATCCCACATGACTTCGGCTCTTGCCCTCTGTGGACCTTGTAGCCATACGTAGCCGGCCTTTCCCACTTAAGAGGAATCTGAGGAAATGATACCTTCCAGGAATCGTGAGATAAGTGTGAGGTAATCTTGATTCTCTTATGGACTTTGCCTTTAGCACCAGAATAAAGTTATAACTTTCCTTTGCCGTGTAACAGACACTGGTTAGTGTTTCTAAAACTACTGAAAATGTGTGTTTAAATCCACTGCTACAGAGGCCTAATTTGCCATGGCGATGTCACCATTGCAGCAAGATGTCAGAGAAGGCTAATCCAGTTCTCCTTTGTGATTCTTTTATGGATTATTTAAAAATCTCCCCTTGTTAGTGAAGCTAAAAATTCTTGGTTTTCCTGCTCGTTTCTGCATGCCTGATGCCTCCTGCTTTTAAGATACCTGTAAACCAAAATTACCTGCACATGCAGTCCCTCATTCACATCCTTAAGTTTGCTGTCACTTCACCAAGTCGAACCGGAGTTCTCTCTTTCCTTTCCTAGCCTTCTCTCCCAACATTCCTGGCCCTGTTTAATACTCTGCCTGACCCACTCAGCATGCCTTTTACAAGTATCATTTAATTTGAAACATGTTTTCTGTTATTTCTCAATAACTTTGTACACTGCTATGTCTCCCCATCTTTAAATGTCACTCTGATTCTAGCCTAAGGAGCTGTTACACATACTTAAGCAAGGTTTCTTCTGTATTGCAAACAAACAGCAAACCAGTAACAGTTACTGCGATATTAACTTTTGAAAAATATTTGAGCTCCTTCCTAGCTACACTGTTCGGTTTCTCTGATTTTTTACTTACCATCTACAGTTAGAGTAAGTTGTCTGGGTATGGGACCACCACTTTCTCTTTCCTGTAAAATAGCTGTCACATTTTAGGGCTATTAAAATATTTCATATACATCATCCTATGGTTTCAAACTGGTTTACTAATAGTAGTTGATTAATTTACACCACATCCCCAAGCATCGCAGAACCACCCAGCATTTGTAACTGAAGAAAGAATTATCTTGGAATTAAGTAATTTCGGACTGGATACAGATCATGGATATACATGGATATGTATATACACGGAGCATATATACATGATATCATTCAAGGCAATATACTAGGAAATAAAGATGAAAACAGCAGTTAGATTTCTCATATTACACTGCACAGGTAGAGGGCCTTTTAATCAATGTGTGTTCAGTTTGGAAAACCTTAAATTTATTTATTTAAGTGTCCCTTTCTCTAGAACATAAAGGAAGTGTGCCTTTCTCTAGCTTATCCACCATCCTAGTCACCTTGTTGCAGAAGACCATCAGGGCAGTCAGGCATGATTTCCCATTCATAAATGTTATGTTGACTACTCACATTCACCTTCTTGACCTTCATGTGTTTGGAGACAATTTCCAGGAGGATTTTCTCCCGGACCTTTCCAGTGACTGCAGTGAGGCTCACTGGCCTGTAGTTCTCCAGATCTTCCTTCTTGCCCTTCTTGAAGATAGGAGAGATGCTTGGCCTTGTCCAGTCTTCAGGAACCTCTCCCAGTCACCACTGTGTTTCAAAGATAATTGAGAGTGGCCTCGCAGTGACATCAGCCAGCTCCCTCAGCACCTGCGGATGCAACCTCTCAGGTCCTGTGGACTTACACATTTCCAGTTTGTTTAAGTGCTCCCTAACCTGGTCCTCCTCCACTGAGGGTAAAACTTCCTTGCTCCAGGCTCCCTCTGGTCTTGGTGGCCTAAGACTGCTGAAGGCCAGTATGGATGAACTACTGAAATTGTCCTCAGGACAGACAACCACCAAGTAAAAAAGACTTTCTAGCATAATGGCTGAAACACTTAAATACTAGGTAGAAGTTTAAACCCCACAAACGTAGACAAGGGGTAACTGTGGGTGTTACACTCTAATCGAGCCATGAGATAAAAGGAGAAACACTTCCTCCTCCAACGATTTGGTGAATACAATCTTTGCTATCCTGTTTTTCCTAATAAATGAAACAAAGCCTTTTATTTGGGCCACTTGGAACATGTTGTGTCAATTGAAACATACAGACAGATTTCCATCTGAATGAAAAAAACCAAACATAATATTATATGTATTTTATCTAAGACTTTTCTTCACACCAGAGTCAAATTATACAAACACACACACATCCATCCTGCAAGCTATCATTTCATGTGCTAATGTGCCAGAAATCTGTACCAATACTAACGATAATGCGTTTGGGGTAAGTGAGCTACAATGCGGGTATTGTTATTTTTCAAAAGCCTGTGAAAAAAGGATTAGTGTTGGGCAGATGAGGTTTTCTAATCACTGGAGTTCAGGAATAAGGTTGATTATACAAATCTAAGCTTGTTCTGTCCAGTTCCTTATGTGTATATGTGCAATATGGAGTTACAGAATTGAATATAGCTCATCCATTCCCTGAAGAGGATGGAAAAAACTCACTGATGATGTCATTATGGACTTTTATCCATTATCTTACAACACTTGCTCACGGCATACTATCAATATTCTTCATTTAATATTTTTTCCTACGGTGCTCAGCACTGATCAAACTTCTCACATCTTCTCTCTGAGTGTGTATGACCGCATACGCACTGAGATACGTTTTGGGGGTGGAGGAAAAAGGATGGTCAGGCATCATCAAGCAACAAAGGGGCTGCAGCACAAGACTGGTGAGCAGGCATTTAGAGGACCTCTGCCAAACAGTGCAGCAGACCGCGGGTGGGCTCAAAGTGGCAGCATTTGACATGCTTCCACAGAGCAGCAAGGCCACGCGATGCTGCGAATAAGAGAGCTAAAGGCTAGTGGCAGGAAAGAGGGATGCAGATGCTGAGGGCACAAGCCTTAGTTTTCAGGGTGTGAGAGCCAATGCATCTAGACTAACCGGTTGTTTCACAGCAGTCGGTTAACTCATGTTTGTGTTTGCGTAGCAAGAGAAGGTGAGGGATGTTGTTATTCCTTGTTCACCAGGGAGAGGACTGAGGCTGAAATATACATTTGAAGTACCAAATGATTTTGGATGTGCCCCTTTTTGCCTCCTTTTCAGCTGGTATATGGGGAAAATCTCATCTTTCCCTTGCATTTAATTTATTTGTAGCACAGCTTTCCCTGATGTCAGGTGCAGCTGTAACTGCTCAGTACTTTGACAAACCTACACTCAGTTACCTTGAAGCAGACAGCAGAAGAAAGAATAAAATCATTGACTAGCTGCAGAAAACAGATACTTAAATGATCTCCCATAATCACATAGAAATGATGTTATATAAGGAGTGTATTCTAGTCCTGAAAAGGAATTTCAGCCACTATAACAAGATTATCTTTTCTCCTTTTCCAGACCCTGGCATCATTCATGGCATCCTGTTTCTTTATTATCATCTGCACCATGCATTGATGAAGCAGGAGTCTTGCTGAAGGCTATTATTGTAAATAAGGCTTATTAAAATGAATATGCACAAGAAGAGCAAGTTACAGTAATCCAGGCAGTTTTTGTTCCATGGTGTCCTAATTTTTTAATCCTTTTCTTGGCACATGCAATATCTTTGAAGGTAACTGGCAATCATACCAACTACTGGAGCCAAAACAATGTATAGGAGCTTGGCTGCCTGTCACTTGTACCCCAGAAACTAGCCATGTAGTGATAGTTCATGCAGAAGGTGCAAAGTGTAGCCCTTTCTTCTATTCAGAATATACTTGGTGGCCTTCGCCCTGCTACCTTTCTTTTGGCATTAATACATTTCTGTTTCCCAGGGCAGGAGTACAGAGAACACCTTCCTTCCACCCCTTTCCCTCTGTGTTACACTGTTATGCATCACACTCTGAGCTCTTTGGTGTAGGTCTCAAAACAGCAAGACCATGATCCCAAACTGGGACCTCCACATGCTATCCTAACACTAAATACTAGCGGGTAAGATCATTCAGGTCCATCCACAATTCACAGCAAGTTAATGCCACCAGGCTCCTCGCAGGAGACGTGCAGACAGTGAGGGAGAGCGCATCTAACTATGGTCTTTTAGAGCAACTCGGCTTCAGTTTTTGGTTCGGAGCCATCAATCTTTTCCCAGTTCTTGGCTGACTTAAATGAACAATACAGACTATTTATACAAAGACGATAAGCATAAGAGGGATGAGAAAATTCTATTTATGTAAACTTATAGAATACCAA